AATGTGAATAATTATTAACATCGCTTCAGTCCAGTGGTTTTGGAGCCAATGCGCGACCGGCTGCAACATAAATTTTCCGGCGAAAGATGACTCCGGAGCTTATCGTCCGTGGGTTATACGAAGTATGAAAGTTCGGACACCGCTTGAATGATAAGTAAGACTCTATTTTTTCCTCAGCGTAGCTAATTTAGCTAGTACAAGTACTTACACTTCTGGCAATTAAACAACTCCTTGACATTGAGAAATTGAGGGCGGACTGATAAACACCCCCACCAGCGCGATTACGCGTTTCAACGGCGGCTACATTGCTTACCGTACATAGAAAAACTACGCATGCTCATCGGCATGGAAAAATAAAAGTGTAGAAAATGGCGCCAACAAAACACGTTTGAAGCCGAAAGCGCGAGTACAAAGCTCAGATGCACGCAATATCGAATATAATTGTCGGCGTGGTCTCAAACTTTGTAGCGCAAGAGGCACCGGTAGCGAATTTCGCGCAACAGCTGGTCGGACAATTGTGCACCAACTTTGCTAAATGATGGTAGATATTAGAAAAAAAAAGTTGGCTGGAGATGACTAAATAATTGTTAATGCTGGAGTTTGCTGGAGGTCAGCTAAAATCGGGTACTCTTGCAAAATGACTGCTCGTGGTAGCTAGTGGCCAATAACGTAAATTGTTAGCTATCCACTGGCAAATGTCGGATGCTGTTTCAGACTCATCTAGTGAGAATTTGTCTTACGCAGTGTATGTACAGCGTTTGCTATAGCGTTGTCCAATGCTTGCTCACGTTTTCAATTGGATGTCGCGACACTAACACTGTCTTCGTTCAATGTCGATCAAATTATTCGCTCATCAATTTAATACTCCCTCTTAGTTGATAACACTGTCCCTAGTGTTGCAGTGGTTTCTGACGCTCGTGCCGCGCAAGTCGGAGACACCCAACGCGATGCAGCGGAGGTGCTCACGCGGCACCGGTGGCATCTCGTAATGGCACCGAAAAATGGAGGAGGGGGGGGGGGGGCAGGGGGTCATCGACCGCGCGCCACCGAGGCTTAACTATATAAACGGGTGACGCCGGGATTAAGCGGCGATCGCTCAGAATCGTCGGAATGCGGTCCTCAAACACCCTCCTTCTCCTCTCTATGTTGCTCTCTCTCTCTTTCGTCATGTTCTTCCGTTTCAGGACGGCAACATAAAAGGGGCACCACGGACATCCCGGCAGTGGACGACCCGAACCATCCTCGCTCGTAATATCTTCTCGCGCGGTGTGAGTTCTTTTGATTTGTCGGCGGCTGCGTGTGTCGCCCTCTCTCCTGCTCTTGCTGCCCGCGTGAGTGGACCATCCAGTTCCTCATTCTCTCGTGGTCGTTTTCTCTCTTGTCTCTCCGAAGACGTGGGCCACCACACAGCGCCGGCCACTCGTTCGTCATCTCAATTCCGACATCCCCGCGCGACCGTGGCCGGCTATAGGACCGATCTCGACTCGACACGACGAAACGGGGTGGGGCGTAGGAGGTCTCGCTTAGCCGAATTCTCAGGACTGCAGCCAAGCCAAGGCAAGCCATCGGCGGCAGCGCCTTTTGTGTGTGATGGACGCGGGAACAATATATATAATATATATATATATATATATATATATATATATATATTTCTTGAAGTCTTCCTGGATTCCGGTCGAGTTATAAGTCACCAGAAGAAGCGAACGAGCAAACGAAAAACGATGCTTTATTGCCAAATATATATATATATATATATATATATATATATATATTGTGTGTGTGTGTGTGTGTGTGTGTGTGTGTGTGTGTGTGTGTGTGTGTGTGTGTGTGTGTGGTGTGTGTGTGTGTGGTGTGTGTGTGTGTGTGTGTGTGTGTGTGTGTGTGTGTGTGTGTGGTGTGTGTGTGTGTGGTGTGTGTGTGTGTGTGTGTGTGTGTGTGTGTGTGTGTGTGTGTGGTGTGTGTGTGTGTGTGTGTGTGTGTGTGTGTGTGTGTGTGTGTGTGTGTGTGTGTGTGTGTGTGTGTGTGTGTGTGTGTGTGTGTGTGTGTGTGTGTGTGTGTGTGTGGCCACAACTGTGTGGCTGCACGTGTCGCAGGAGCTCTCGAAACATGATCGCTTCCGCCTTGTGTCACCACCCCTTCTTCGCCTACAAGCGGATGATTACGCCCTCTGTATTTGGCTTCGACGTGCACCCCCACCTCTCTCCCCTCTGAATTTGAAAAGAAAAAAAAAAATTTCCCGGAGAGTTTAAGCAGATGATCTGCATCAAGACCAGCAGGTCACTCTTTAATCACCGCAGCACCAATTATATTACAAATTTTCCAACTGCGCGAACAACAGAGCTTCATTCCTCTCATTGGTTGATTGCTTTTGCCACGCACATACCTCGAACACTCAAAATACACAACCTCGGACAGGACCTCTTTTAGAGCTAGATTCAAGTACTAGCGATGACAGCAGTACGCGTTTAAAGCGCGCCGTAATGGCCATAATGCAGCACTTGCCGGTCCACGTCGCACAAGTGGCCGCCGTAAAGGGTTCTTCGGAGTTTTATATATGTGAACGCCCGTCTCAGCCGCTGCGAGTTGCACTGCGCGAAAGTGACGGGATACGAGAGACGCTGCTCTCGCCCACCGCGTGATTGACATACATTATAGAGAACAGCGAAAGAAAAAAAACGCCTAATAACAGCTGGTGTAGTCGCACTGCGGTATTGACCCCAACATGTAACACGAATGGCACGGTCTTTAAAATGAACTGACACATCCGGGCTGAGAGCGTCTAAATAGGTCGCGAAGCCTGCAGCGCGTGCCGCCACTAAATTTATGATACCACAAGCAGGAGATCCGCGTTTTGCAGGGGAATGGCTGAAAGGACAGAGAGGAAGGAAAGGTAGCGACATTAAAATCCTGTCTAGAATACCCCGCACACTACCCTACACTGGCGAAGAAATTGGGTAATTCAGTCAGAAAAAAGCGCGAAAAAGCAACACAACGACAAAGCTCGTCCTCCTGTCTCCTTCGTGCTTTTGCGTTCGTGATTTTGCCGCGATTTGTTTCAACACGAATGTGCATCAACTCGCCGAGCTTACGTCTTTACATAACAAGTGGACTAGCTATGTCAGCTCAGCAATTATAAAGTAAAGGCGAATGCAAAAAAAAAAGGAACAGCACAGACTATGTGTTCTCCGCCGAAAAACCATCAAGTGCCTGCACCTGAACATCCAGTGCGCACCTCCCCTCACGATCTGTCTTGGACTTTCAGATGGAAACCTGATACTACCTTACCCGCGTCGTCCTGAAAATAAGATGAAAAAAAAAAAGAACTAAATAAACAGAAAGGCCACAACGCGGCTCGCAGGCGCAAATCGTTTAGATTGCGGCCGGGAAAGTGTACGATGTTCGGTAAGGCAAATAAGTGCAAATCGAGCAAAAGCCAGTGAAGAAAAACAAGAGCTATAATCTTTGAAGCAATTAGACCAACAAAAATAAATTCTGGTGGTATCAAACAAAAGGAAAAGATTAAGTTTGCATTAGCAGGGTAACGCTTAAGAAACAGGGAAACTGGCCAATCTTAGGGGCTTAACGAGGCCTTCTTGGCTGATTCCAGGTCTTTCCTTTGCAAAGACAGGGTAGGGTCCAACCAAAGCCTGTCACAGGCCATGCAAGATTGTCTAAACCTCAGCGCCAGGAACTAACGTGCGAACGTGGATGTGACACCCATGGTAGAAGGACGGGTCTTTCGATTGATTTGTGGGGTTTAACGTCCCAAAACCACCATTTGATTATGAGAGACGCCGTAGTGGAGGGCTCCGGAAATTTTGACCACCTGGGGTTCTTTAACGTGCACCCAAATCTGAGTACACGGGCCTACAACATTTCCGCCTCCATCGGAAATGCAGCCACCGCAGCCGGGAATCGAACCCGCGACCTGCGGGTCAGCAGCCGAGTACCTTAGCCACTAGACCACCGCGGCGGGGCAAGGACGGGTCTTTCGTCGCTCGTACTCGGCTCTTGCCACGCCGCGTAAACTCGGCGAGATCGCTGCCCAGGCTGTCTCCGTCGATGGGCGTGGCCTGACAGCGGTTGCTCCAAGGCGCATGAACGGTTAGACGAGGTTATACCACGACCTACTGTACTCCTGACCTACCCATATGGCGGGGTTCCTATGGCAGCGCGTGTCCCCGCTCTCGTTCAACCGCTCACCGTGAGTGGCGCTACCTATAACCGGTTCGTCTGCTACTCTATGACTGTTAGGACGGCGCTGGAGTAAGAATGCCTGCATCCTGTAATTAACTGGCGGCATGTATGTGACTATTTTAGCAAACTTAAAATGCTGATGAAGTAAGCCATTCAGTGTGGTCAAGTATTTATTGCACACTGATTGACGAACGTGGTAACCCGTAGACTTACATGGTGTAGGACAGCCTATGTGGTGTCGCGTTCATTTAATTACAAACAATTTTTTAACAAATTTTAATATATTTATTTCTGAATTATTTTTATTTGTGCATAATAATCACGCACTATCACTGCTCTGTTGGTCAAAATATGACCACAAACGCTGAAGGCGACGTCAGCGAACAGGTGCTGACAAGTGCCACGCCACTCGTCGGTTATGACCCTAGCGGCCAAGATACAAACTAGACGCAGGCACTGAAGAGGAGCTATCTGGGCAGGTCGGGAGTACAGTAGGTCGTGGATTAAATCAACATGGCGCACAGCTGTAGCTTGGTTATTGTTAGGCAACGCTGGGAAGTGTTCTTTTGCGGACGACGGACGTTTTACCTCGACCTTTGAGAGCTTTCGCTCATATGGAAAAAAAAAACGTCTCATATCCGGACGCAATAAAACTGCTAACAGATGAAAGAGGTAGTGCTCTTGGCTGGAAAAAAAACTGCAATCACAATATTTTGAAACAAGTCGGTAGAGGCCATGCTAGATATACTCGACTACAGGGTTCGCATATAGTGTGCACATATCTCTGCGCGACGCAAGCTCACCGCGAAAGAGTACCAGGCTGTCGTCCAGGAATCGCCGCAGCGGCGCCGTGGCGTCTCTCAACCGGAAGCGGAAGTGGTCCCACGCGGCCTCTCGCAGCCTCAGCTCGGTCTCCTGAGTGCAACACGTGTCGCGGCCCGACGCCAGCGGACACAGAGTCAGGGAGCCACCTGCACAGACAACGAGATACCCGACGCATTGAGTGTACGATCGCAACAAATGCGACGGTGTGAATCCCAGCAACAGAAACGAAAACAAAACGGTGACCAACAAGTGAGCTTTGCAGTGCACACCATTGTACACTTTTTTCCAGAGGCACCCTGAAGGGAAATCGTCGTACCACGTTAATGAAGTTACACTCCACCGACAGTAATCGAAAACGCGCCCTTCCGTTTAACAGCCAGAGAACTACGATACGCACACTTGAGAGCGGCCCGTTGCGTCACACCAAACTACTCGACCGTCACACACCGCGTGATTCGTGACGTCACCACGTGGTTGACAAGATCTATACTTGATAAGATTAATCTACAGCGCGAGGCAGCGGGTACAACAATAGATGATGCCACAGTCCTTCAATTCAATACGTTTTCATTCAGTTGAGGAACTATCGAGCTATAAAGGTAATGAGGGACTATGCTATTACCTAGCATGCTACAGCAAGGGTTATGAATATGCACTGTTGTCTTTCTCTCAAATGCGATATCATGTATGATACTCTGCACTCCTTGAATTGTAAGCAATTATAGAAACTGCAATGAAATCAAACTGCAATGAAATCAAACTGAATCCAGGTTTATTTTTTATGGATGCTTACTGGAACATAAGAAAGCGCGGTTTCGCAACTGCATGCACGATCACAGCAGCCGAATCGAACCTACATATATTTTCACAGGAGCGGGCAAGATGCCGCCATGCTGGACTACGCGTGGGTGTACGAGGTTTCGGCAGTGCATTCTTTAGGGAGTCACGGTCATTTAGCGCGGCCCCGAGAGGCCAATGGCGGCGCCCAGGGAGCCGTCTGTACACCTCCGTTGCGTATCTATCCGATACCCATACCCACGTAGTAGCGAAGCTGCACAACCAGCTGTCACAATGTAACTTATTGCCTCACACGAGACATGCCGGTGGGCCGTGTAGTCATTAACGCCATTAATTCGTAGCCAGAAGAACGTACTTATTCAACGGCGCGCGCGCACTGCTCGCACACTGATACCCGCGCACTCTTTGCGCCCATGGAGCGGCCGCTTTACTGTAACGCACTATTCGGACTCATTCTTTTTTTTTTTTGTCTTTTTTAAGCGGCACGCAAGACTTACGAGGCAGCAAGAACAAGCGGCTCTCGTTCCTCCGCCCGTCTCCCTTTTCGCGCGCGCCAGCCGCACAGTCTGGCGCAGCAGCGTAAACGTCACGCGTGCCCCGCCAGACGGAACAGCTGTTGCCGATCGGGGCGGCCAACCGTCTGTGCGAGCCGCGCGCGCACATACACAACCACAGCGAAAGGCCCCATCGGTGAAGCGCGTCGAACACAAGACGCCGCGAGAACAGCAGCGAAAATGCGCGTGGCAACGCGGTACGTGCTGCCTGTGCGCGCATCAAGTTCGGCGCGTTTCGTACGATCACTCTGCAGCGCTCCGAGGAATGGCCACAATCACACGCAACGCTGGAGGAACGCTGCGAATTTTGCAGTCGACGCCTCGCACAGGCCGCGGCCGGATACTAAACAGGCTCGGCGCAGTCTCGCAGCTCTGCTGCATGCACGGACCGGCTCGCGTAGTTTAAGCGTGCACCGTGGCAAAGTCCCTACTCCAGGACGAGTGCAACACATGCTATATGTGTGTCGCTTGCACCGACGCCTACGACAACGATTTTGCCGGCGGGAGATATATAACGGCCATTCACTTGATCTGATGCACAGCACATACAAAGCGTTTTGGTTGTATACATGCAGGCTGTGCCCTAAACCGCTTCTCGGTTTTGTGGGAAACGTACGCTTACTTGCGCATTTTTAATTGGTAAGTAGCAATAAATGCGCGCAATCTAACGGCTCCTTTACGAGTGTCATGAATGTTATGGCGACAAGTTTAAGCAACCGTAAAGCATGCGGCGAGAAATGCACACATATAAGTTCAGTTTCCTTAGATCCAGCGATTAATAGGCAATATTTAATCCGTAATAATTAATACGTAATACGTAATCCACGTTTAAATTGACATAGATACCCAATAAAGTGGCTGAGGGGACGGCTGTCGTGGTAGCTCAAGTGGTAGAGCATCGAACGCGTTATTCGAAGGTCGCAGGTTCGGATCCTGCCCACGGCAAGTTATCTTTTCACCCACTTTTCTTTCCTCTCATTTACATTACAATGGCCTAATAACTTCCCCTATACCTTTCTTGGCATTATTGTCTGTTAGATCTCATTAATATTGTGTAAACACGAAAAACGAGCCCTTATGTATACACTTCTTTCCCTTATATATATATATATATATATATATATATATATATATATATATATATATATATATATATATATATATATATATACATATATATATATATATATATATCTGTGTGTGTGTGTGAGTGTGTGTGTGTGTGTGTTGAGACAGATCGAATCGAAACTTTGCAAAGCCCAAAGAGAAGTGCATCGTAGAACGGGAACAAAAAAATTGCCCGCAGCTTCCCTCGGGGGAACACTGAGGAGGAGGCGGACCATATAATTGGTTAACGGGGTGTTAAAGTGCGACTTACTTGGGTCGATGGCTAAATTGGTTAACGTGGTTGTAGGAGGGGGTGTTAAATGAGTGAACACGTACACACGTATGCGAAAGGGCGGCGCTGGTCGAAGGGACGTCGATCATTGTGTTTGTGGATTCGTTGGAATTCATTTCACCGCGACCTTGGACGTCGACGCGCCGTACAAACCAACCGACGAGCGGCAACTGAGCGAGCGAGCGCCGACCTTGAGTATATATACAGCACGACGGCGCATGCACTGTCAGCTGTTGAATGTTCTGGAAGCGCGACGCCACATGCGCGTCCACTGGAGAATCAGGAGAATTGTAGATGTCGAACGCGGTGTGTAGAGGAGGAAGGGTGCACAGATGGTGGAGGAGTGAAGCGCGCGCGGTGTGTAGAGGAGGAAGGGATGCACAGATGGTGGAAGAGTGGGCGACGGCGCGACGGCGCATGCGCGCGCGTCAGCTGTCGAATGTTCGAGAAGCGGTGCGGACGGCGCGGACGGCGCACTACAAGGCGCGAGTATAAGATGCTCCGCATCTAAAATACGCTTATGAATAACGTCACTCGTTCGTCTGAGAAAGGCTACGCAAATGAACATCCGGCGAAGAGCATAGTGAGAGACATTGAAAACAAGTGACACCAACGCGCTGTTTTTTACGCACATCGAACGTGTAAGCAATCAAAAGCCAAGTGGCCCTGGCAAGCGAAACGTGGTAGGTGAGATGACAATTCGCGAAGGGCGGCATATGAGGCTTCCCTTAGGCTTGCACAAATGATGGGCAACAGATGCGTGGAAATGCATGGCGTCACCGATTTTCGACTAAGACATGACGAAAAAAAAAGAACAATCACCGCCCACGACATGCCGCCGCGTTTGTAAACCATACATTTTTTTTTTTTGACACTCGGTCCCGACAGCCGAAGACAGACACGTCGGGGCCGCGTGGTAAAAGCCACGCGTCACTGACATGGATGCCTCCAGCTACGTCAGCTGTATTCGCAACCGCGCTGAAAGACTCGCACTCAATGGAGTCGCCACACGTACGCGCGACCCCGTACGCACGCTGTCATAAAAGTTCGCGACTGCTGTTGAAACACGAGGGAAAGGAGGGTAGAGTGCAGCTTTGCAGCGGCGCCCGTAGCCGCTCCTTTCCGCCCACGAGTTCTCTGCAGCATGCAGCAGCCCACGCGCATGCTCAAGCGTTCACGGGCCGATGATCCCTCGCCAGCTGAGCACGCAGACACGGGCTGGCACCCAACGTTACTATATAGAACTCGCGTCCATGCTGCCGCCAGCCGGCATCGAGGCGGGTTTGCACAAACTTGAATGGTGTAGTGGCGAAACAGAGACGTCGAGGGGCGCGTACCAACTCTTTCTGTCCTCGCTTGTGGGGCGCCACCATGCATGGACAGCGACGCGCGAGGAGACGGCGAAACACACTCTCATTTCGTGCGAATATGAAATCACCGAAATGAGTGGTGTTGCTGCTTCAAATGAAAGGTACAACTTTCACGCAACAAAAACTCACACCATATCTTTTGCATTATGTAGAGTAAGGCGACTGGAACCCGAGATCCATGCATATTATTCTTCCCAGTTGGTTGTGCGAATTGTGCAGCGCAGCCAACGCACTTGCCCATAGACATCGCAGCGCAAGGAATATATTGAGAGGACGCAGCATAACGGACGTATCGTCGAAAGCGTAAAGCTGCGATCACGGTAGCGGTTATACTGTCGCGTTTTCTTTTCTACTTTTTATCGTGGTTAACACACGTAGAGAGCACCTGCATGCATATATACAGTTATCTCTATTTCTATTTTGCTACATGCTAATAAATGCCAGGTGCAGTAACATGATTTAACACGGGGGAGTCAAGGTAACTCTCTTCTCGAACATCCCCGGTTATACACGTGTGCACGAGGCATGATTATACTGAAAAAAACACAACAAAGTCGGCATATTCCGGTCTTTTATGAGGCGCCCAGCGATTCTGGGCACCACGCAACGAGAAAGAAAACCCGATAAAGCCCGCAGGATTGCCGCTGAAGGGCGTTCGCCTTGAACCGCAACCGGCGGTGCGTGGCAGCCAACGAAGCGTGCGATACTCGGTCTCTGAAGGAGACTCGCTAATGAGAAGGAGCGCCCCTCTTGCAGGTATAGTGGGGCCACTGTGTCAATACGAGCTCGCTCTCTTCATCTGCCTGCATCAGACTCTACCGTCAACATCGACCAGACTGCGCCTATACTGTACTCTGGGCAAAGGGCCCCTCCCATAGTTTTCTCAAGTAACCCGGTGCTGTACTTGTTGCGACCACGTTATCGCTGGAAAACTTCTTAGTTTGCAAAACACATCGCACACGTCGTGTATAGCACATCGAAACGCAATGTGGTGCGTGTGGTTGCGAACACTGCTTTGAGGATTG